CAAAGTCTTTAAACTCTACATCATGACAAGTTATGGACAACATTATGAAAAACAGGTATTTCAGAACACTTTAAGTGTGATCACAAGCCAGTTGTTCTAACAGAACAAGGAGGAATTGAATGGTTTGAAAATAGGAAAGGTGTAGACTATGGTTGTATTCTTTCATCGTATTTATATTCATTCTGTACATTGAGCAAATAATCCAAGAAACTGGATTATATGAAGAAGAACTAGGCATCAAGAATAGAGGAAGACTGAATTCTCAGGTGATACCATTTTGTTTGCTGAAAGTAAGGATGACTTAAAATACTTACTGATGAAGATCAAAGACCATAACCTTCGATATGGGTTGCACCTCAATGGAAAGAACACAAAAATCCTCACCACTGGAACAATAAATAATATCATGATACAAGGGAAAAAGATTGAAGGTGTCAAAACGTCATTTTATTTAGATCCACCAACAATACTCATAGAAACAGCAGTAAAGAAAGCAAATGACATATTGCATTAAGAAAATCTGCTGCATGAGACCTTTTAAAGTGTTCAAGAGCAAAGATATCAGTTTGAAGACTAAAGTGCTCCTGACCCAAGACAATAGCTTCATAAGCATGTGAAATTCAGACAATGAGTACAGAAGACAATAAAAGAACCAAGTTAAGGTGTTGGAGAAGAGATATTCTTAAGTACCATGAACTGCTGTAAGAATAAACAAATCTTTCTTGGAATTATGGCCAGAATGCTCCTAAGAAGCCAGGATGGCAATACTTCATCTCCTAATACTTTGGACATAGTATCAGGAGGAGCCAGTCCTAGAGAAGGATATTTTGCTTGGTAACATGAAGGGTCATAGAAAATAGCAAGACCCCCATGGGATTTATTAGCAGTGTGGCAGTTGCAATGGGCTCCAGTGTAACAATAATTGTGAGGATGGTTCAGGACCAGGCAATGCTCTTTGTCAATAGCTTTAATGCACTTTTGACTTTTTCCTCTAGTACCATTGGCTCTTGTAGATGTACTACCTCTTGAAATGGTTGAACATCAACCTTTTCTTTTTGGTACAGTGCCTGTGTGTATTCCTTGAATCTTCTTTTGATGCTTTCTGCATTATTCAATAGTTTGCTCATGTTGTTATTGTTAAGTGCCATTGACTCAGTTCCAACCTGTAGCGACTCTGTGTAGGGTTTCCAAGGAGCGGTTGGTGAGCTTGAACCGCTGACCTTGCAGTTCAAACCAACTTTGCAGTCTAGCGTATTAACTCGCAGTGCCACACCCTTCAATATTGAAAGTTAAGTCTTTAACTTTTTTCTTAATTTCTTTCAGCTTTGTCAGGTTTCTGTGGGTACTTGGTTCTTGCTTTTGGCAAGAAAGATTTGCTCTCAGAAAATGGTGAACAACAAATTAGCAAACTTTTATTGAGAATGAAGAAAACATACATTCTCACCAGCAAGAACAGGCTCACACCAAAGACAAGGTGAAGCCCCGGGTTTTCTTGTTCGAGCACTTTTATCTCTGCCTTTGTCCAATGAGACAGCTTTTCTATATGATTGACGGGAGCTTTAGTGATGTCCAGTTTTGTTTACTGTGCAGTTTTTTATCCACAGTTCAGTTGGTATGCTAACCATGGGGAGTTCAAACCACACTGTAAATG